AATGAATAAAAGTCAGGAAAGCTTGTCCAAATGTTATTAAATCGGATCTTCTTAAAAACGCAGGTACTTATTCTATGTGAATTCAGACTATTGCATTTATATAATGCTGGCTATGCTACAAAATACCGAACTCCGTGAACACATTGTCATATATTGTTTAAAAAAGGGCCAGAGAAACGAATGTGAGAACTACAGGGCATTAGCCTTGTGAGTGTTGCTTGCAAATTGTATGCAATTAATTAGCACTCGCCACAAAAAATATAGCAATAATTCGTGTACGAGAACAAGCTCGATTCCGAAAAAGTCTCTCATGCAGTGATATTTTGATCATGAAAAGAATTTTAGAAATCGGACGAGAAGTCAATCTTGAAACTCATCTAGCTTTCATTGACTTGGAAAAAGCATTCAACACTGTTGACAGAAAGAATTTATGGAACATAAGAATAACGGTTACCCTAAACACCTAATGGAAGTTCTTTAAAGTATGTATATAGGTAAAAAAATTATATAAACGCAAGGAAAAGAGAATGATACTTTTTTAAATGTGCTGATGACGTAATCATGAGTGAAGATACTGGAGAAAAGTTACAAGGAGCATTATAAAGTTGAAAAATAAGAATTTAATCTTAGAATCTCCAAATAGAAAACTAAAGACATGGCCCACTGCGGGAAACACCGTATCCGCTCGAAAATAGTTATTGATTATACTCCCGTACAACAAGTTTCTCATTTTAACTATATTGAATGTAAAGTTATGATGCCGATTGGGATATTGAAAATTAAATCAGAAGATTTCAATCAGTATGCGGGAAAATAAATAAAACCCTCCATAATTAAAACACGAAAAGATACAAAAATAAAATTTTACAAGACAATGGCTATCTCTGTTCTTTTGATGGCAGTGAATCGTGAATGATTAAAGAGAGACATTTATAACAGATCTGGACATTTATAACAAATTAACTAGAAATGTATATTCTTGGAGACAGCACATACGAAAAATGGACGCCAATAGAACCTCGTATGTGGCAATGCTCTATCATCCCACTAACCAAAGATGTCGGAAGATCTAAGAAAATGTGGCAATAATAATGAAAATGAAAGGGGGAATGTTAAACCAACGGAACGTGTGCTAACCACTTGAAGTGAAGAATAATGTGGAAGAGGGGAGAAAATACTGGTCAAAAACTGCGATTCAGGACTGTCTTTGCTCTATTAGGTATCTATAAAGATAGTATCAAATCAGTCGTCTTTGCACATTGCTTTAAGCTGCTTCGAAGATTTTGACCACACGTTTCCATGTACTTGTGGAGTAAGTTTTTGTCTCTGCACTTTTTACGTATCCTTTGTAAGTTGTATGGTAGATAGTAGTGCCTTTCGACGAGTTTCAATCGTCTTAGCAAACATACGTAACGTTCTACAAATGTTTAAAGATACATATGCTTTCGGGATGTAGGTTGCTAAGTTTGTGGGAGATCTTTGAAGTATTTTGCGTATGATTTATAGACGGAGCGTGTCGCAAAAGGCTTGTCATCCATGCCTGTGGTAAATGAACGGTCAAAAATTCAAGAATTGGCACAAACGAGTGCCCTGTGTGTACTCATGTAAAATACCGAATGTTTTGCTTAGAGTTTTGAAGCCTCCTCCGTTTGATTTATAGTCGGCGGAAGTACCCGCGATCGCGTCCCAAAGCGCCATTGACGGCGCCGCCAAGAAACCGTCCAAAAGTTCTACCAAGCGCCGCAAGGGGCGCTCGTCAACGCACGCGGGGGACGACGCCATGCGGCGATCGCTGGACCTGGTGAACGCGGCAGGTTGCGGGCAGATCGCGCCGGTGGTGAAGCTGCTCGCCGCAGGCTTCCCGCTGGAGACGCGGGACCCGTCGGGCAGCACCGCCCTGGCGCTGGCGGCCGCCAACGGCCACGCGCGGGTCGTCGCCGAGCTGCTGGACCGACAGGCGTGCGTCTCCGCCGCGGACACGGCCGGCCGGAGGCCGCTGCATCGGGCCGCGGCCGCGGGCCACGAGCAGGTGACGAGGCAGCTGCTGGCGCGCGGGGCCGAGCTGGAAGCGCGGGACCTAGGCGGGCGGACGGCGCTGCTGCTGGCCGCCCGAGCCGGGCGGGCGGACGCGGTGGCCTTGTTGCTGGAGAAAGGAGCCGACCTGCACGCGCGGGACCAGGAGGGCCAGACGGCGCTTCATCTGGCGGCTGCTGAAGGGCACGCGGATGTCGTGTCTGCGCTCGTGGAGGGGGGAGCGGCGGTTGAGGACAGGGACAAGCAAGGGCTCACTCCGTTATGTAGAGCGATTGATGGTAACAACGAACCCGTTGTTGGTTTGCTTTTGGGAAAAGGCGCGTCTGTCAATGTTTCTTATGAGAGTATTGGAACGCCTCTTCATGTGGCTGCCAACGACACACGTATTCCAATATTGAATCTTCTTCTTGAACGAGAACTTGACTTAGATGTTGTAGACGCTGATGGTCGAACGGCACTGCTTTATGCTGCAGAAATGGGTCAATGGGAGGCTGTTCAGAAGCTACTTCATAAAGGGGCATCTCTTGACCTGCTAAATGGCAAAGGACAGACAACACTTGATTTAGCCATTGCAGCAAATGTCCCCGATGTTATTGGATTGCTGATTCAGATGGGTGCTTCTATTGAAATTCGCAATGGATTTGGGAGAACGGTTTTTGCGGAGGCAGCGCGTTTGGAGCTTGAAGAAATTGTGTCCTTCCTTTTGGACGTGAACGCAGATTTGTCATCTGTTGATGTTAACAATCAGACAGCTCTTCATTTGGCGTGTGCCAAGGGGAATGCCAATATTGTGCGACAGCTTGTCAACAGGGGTGCCGATTTGAATATTTCTGACATCTGGGAAAGAACCCCCTTGTTGTTGTCTGCGATTAACGGTCATTGGGACGTAGTTTCTTTGCTCTTGGAAGAGGGAGCCTCCCCGAACATCGGTGATACCGAGGAAAATGTAATTCATTTGGCTGTGAAGGCGAACAAATTAGAGATAGTCAGGAAATTACTCGAGAAAGAAACTTCTCTACAAGCTACCAATGAAGATGGACTTTCTCCTTTGCTAATCGCTGCGCAAGGTGGCAGGGAACAGATAGTTTCCCTTCTTCTGGAAAACGGAGCGTCAATTAATGACACTGACTGTGAAGGTCAAACTGCTCTTCATTTTGCTGCTGCAGAAGGCCACAAGGAAATTGTTCTTCAGCTTCTACGTGAGGGAGCCGCTGGAAGTGAGACTGACTTCCAAGGCAGAACTCCTCTCGAGAGAGCGAGAACAGGTGGGCACGATCTAATAGTACATATTTTGCAAAAGGAGGTAAATCGTGACAGGTCTGCTGCAGGTAAGAATACTCGAAAACCCAAGGGCTCTCAGCTTCTCCAAGCAGCTGCCTTAGGAGATACCACAGAGGTGAAACGTCTTCTGGAAAGTGGAGTTGTAATAGACTCCAGGAGTGGATTATCACCGCTTCATATGGCAGTAAAGAATGATCATGTCGTTACGACTTTGTTGCTACTTAAACACGGAGCGGATGCGCTGGCAAAAGATACATACGAAAGAACTCCACTTCACGTCGCAAGTGCAGAGGGAAATGCGGAATGTGTTTCTCTGTTACTGAAACATTTAAAGAAGGATGACATCAATTGTCGTGACGTAAATAAGTGGACCGCTCTTCATACTTGTGCCAAAAATGGTAAGGTGGACTGTATGAGGATTCTACTGGAAGGTGAAGCAGATGTTGACATCCTTGATAGTTGGAACAGAAGTGCCCTTCACGTGGCCGCCAAGTATGGTCATGCAGAATGCCTTGCACTTCTGTTAACCCACGGATCTAACGTTACTGGGAAAGACGTTCATATGAATACAGCCCTTCATATTGCATCGTACAGTGGGCATCTAGAATGTGTGTTAGTTTTGTCGAAAGTGGATGACCTAAAAATCGATCTTCGAGATAAGAAGGAGCGTTCTGCACTTCATAAAGCTGCTGAACGGGGTCACGCGAAGTGTGTTGAAGCTTTATTGGAAGCAGGAGCAAAGTTGACAGTTTTGGATAAATTTCGCAACACTCCCTTGCATCTTGCTGCCGAAGGAAGTTATATTGATGTAATAAAAGTACTGCTTTGCAAAAATGCGAGTCGTAAGGCTAAGAATTTGTCCGGTGAAACACCCCAAGATTTGGCAAAAGCAGCGGAAGCTCGAGTTTTGCTCGAACCTTGAATTTGCATCCATCAGAATATCATCGGATGAAATGGAAGCCAAGAGTCAAGATTAAAATTTCATGTAGAAAAAAACCAACAAAAAACATACAACAGATTATGCTTGTAATTATTTTGTAACCGTTGTAGAAAGCACACGTTTGTTTTCGTCGTGATTGTATTTTTTATCTTTAACAAGTGAGTGTATGCTTTACCCTAATAAATTAGTTTGAATTCATATTTCTCTCATGTCGCCCTTTCGATCACTCCTTCGCCAACCGTTTTCGTTGTGCCAGGGCAATAAATGTAACCCGATGGTTGCCAATATTATGAAGCTGCATAGTTTTTGAATTTTACTGTTATCTATCGAGTACAGACCTAGGAACTTTCATCAAGTAATCTGGAATGCATGTACATGCAAATGCCCTATGTTCACACGCAAAACATACAGGATATAACTTCAAGCTCATAATCAACTTTGAGACAGTTGCGTGGGAGTGTACAAGCAATGTTAGCAGATAATTTATCTACTGTATAATATATTTATCTAACTAAGTAGTAGTGTATTTCTAGGCCAATGTCCCCATCTCGATCAGGTTTTGTTCAGTTTCCCTGGTCCTTTGAGCAAATGCTGAGATGGCCCCTTGTTTGCTCCTGAACAGTAATATAACTTCGCTCTCTCCACCCAAGGCATCATATTGACTCGTCATACACGATTGTAATTGTATATGTGACTCAATAAATATTATTATTATTATTATTATTATTATTATTATTATTAATATACATACAATAGTACCTATTCCGCTCCACGCAATTGCGCATCACTCGGAGATTACGGGACCTGCCATTGACTTTGACAAGACTCGGCTCCTGCACAAGGAAAACCGATAATGGCCGAGACGCATAAAAGAGGCATTAGAAATAGACGTCCGCATAACATTAACGCGGACGCAGGCCTCTCTCTTAACCACGCCTGGAAATCTCTTACCATCTATTCGGGACCGTCAGGGGGCTGTTCAACACCGTCCGACCACGGGGACGTCTGGCGCAAGGCCCAGGTTGGCCCAGAGTGCCAGCCAATCAGGGAGACCTCTCCGCCAGTCACAGCGCACCTGCCCTTCCCGAGAGCCCAGGCAGGATAGCATAAATCACCGGGCGCGTAACGCCGCAGTGTCACTGCCCTATGGAAGCCTGCGACATGTCAGGCAAAACGTCGGCACCCCAGCCAACGACGCGGCGTCTCCCGGATAGCCAAGAATTTATGGATTCGAGCCTCGGAAGCTTACGTGTACAGGTCCGTATGTTTGGGAAGGTAGTGTGAACAAATTGTAGTCCGTTTACATCAGATTTGCTCACCACTTTCCCTTTTTTAGCTGATGAAAATTAAAAATGGTTGAACTTAGTAATATATTTTACATTAGAGTACTTATTTTCTGTAAAAAGAGCTTGCCAATCAAGAACACTAACATTTGCATTTCCCTTCTCATTACTTTCTGAAACTGCAAGATTTAACTTTGAGTTAGGTCTTGGCTGTTCAATTGCTTCGATAAACTCACTATTTAAAGATAAGCGAGTGGAAGACCAAAGGCCCAGTCGCATGAGAGTTTGGTGTGGCCCACAGGGAAGAATGACAGCAATCCTAAGATTTTCCCATTTTATTTATTTATTTACGTCTAAAACAGTTAAAAAGTGGGTGCTATGGGGAGAGGTTACATCTATGTTCAGAAGCAAAACAAGGGGCCATCTCATCATTTGCTGATCAGGGAAACTGGACAAAAACCTGTTCGAGATAGGGTGTCTTTGACCTACAAGCTGAAGTAAACTACTTGTTACATGTTCTCTAGAATTATACAATCCAAATGTTAAATAATACACAAAAAGTCTTTAAAATTAATATTACTATTCTTTTGGATGCTCATTATAGTCTCTAATTGTATAGAAACAGTTGTGCAGCAGCAAATAGTTTACTTGGTACTTAAACTTTTGTATGGAATTTAATCGTTTAATGTCATCTGGCAAGGTTTTCTAAAATAAATACATGAATAGTGTGTGAATTTTTGTAGTGAGCTGTTGATACTGTCATCTGATGTATATAATTACTACGTCAAGTGTTGTATATATTACAATATTTCAGCATTTGCTGAAAATATATTCCCGCCCTTAAGTAAGTCATTTTTGACAAGAACCACTGATTTATATATGAAGACACAAGGTAATGGTAAAATACGTAGATTAATAAAGAGAAGCTTCCAAGAATCTCGTGGGTTAGATTTACTTATTCGTACAGTTCGTTATTGTAATCTAAATTTGGAACTATAAGATGTATTTCCCCAGAATATTATGCCATATCTCAGACGGGAATGAACATTCACGAAACGTACACGAGCAGTGTGGATGCTGTCTTTGAAAGAATTGTGAAAGCATAGCATAAAGAACTTGATTGAGTGTTCATATAAATGGGCGTTCCATTTAAGGTTTGACTGAAACGAGAGACGTAAAAATTTAGTTACATTAACGTCAGTCAATGGCACACCGTTCAACTTCATTGGAGTACAGAGCGATTTATTTGAAATGGAAAACTGCATTGAAACCTTTTTTTTTTTTTCTTTTCATTTTCTATTAATTGGTTATTACGGAACCGATTTGATATATCTGATATTGTACTATTTACGGTTTCTTTATTGCAAAGAATATTCGTATTATCCCAAAGAGAACTGTTCTTCCTTTTCTAATTTTCGAGGGCATGTCGTTTACGTACAGTATGAAGAGAATAGGGCCTAAGTTTAACATATCTTTTGGAACATAGCTCATTTTTATCTGCAGCCTTACCTAACGTATCGCCCAAATACCAACGAGCATAATCCCTGTGACATCCAGAAATTCGGTTGTGAGAGAAACTAAAACGTATTTGTGGATTCAAGGTATAGCCCTAAACAATGTCACAGTTGATTCTGAATGTTGTAAAACTTTTAGTTCTCGTCCAATAAATGCTTGCACTTGAAAAAAGTGTGAATTTGTTGGAAAAGACTGAAGTCTATTTTTTTTGTGATGATTGAATATTCAGATTTCGATAAATGAACTTGGTTATCTTTGCAGAACTAGAATTATAAGCAAATTTCAAGTAACTTGAGCGTCAGTAGTGTAGATGAGAAATTAAGTGGAAATTTGAAGTGAAGTCGGTTGCAAACAATTCCGGAGAGATCTTTATTTCTAGAAATCAGTTGTACACCTAATCCAAGTTGACCAGTTCATGACTGGGTCTCAGATGAAGCGGTGACGTATCTTCGAGGCAAGCCCAAGTCCTGTATTAAGCAGTTTTTCATAACTAAAAATATTCATTCTTACGAATTACTAAGTGATCTTCTTTCTTGTCGACACAGATCATCATTAAATACTTTTTATTGCAGATCGCTGCCTAATGAAAAGTGCAAGACAAGGCGCTAAAGGTAACAGTATTTGAGAAGAGTAATTTGAGAAACGGTCGGAGTTGCAAACATTATGTCGGAATTGGGCGTGCATAGTAACGATGACTCAGGTGAAATATTGAATGCGGATTTTCCATTCGAGAAGAGGGGTGCTGAAGCAATCGATGCTCTCTGTGTCGCAGCTAAGAAAGGGGACAACGTTACCGTGTCGTTTTTGTTGGGTGAAGGGGTGCCTCCTACTCAAATAAATGATGCCGGGAGCACGGCTCTTCACTTGGCGGCAAAGGGGGGGTTTAAAAGTATTGTAATAGAGTTGTTGAAGTACGGCGCGTCACCTTTCATACGCGATAGATCAGGAGCCACCCCAATTGACCTGGCAATGCAAGGGGCACACAAAAAACACAAAAAAGTTGTGAACATATTAACTGCAGCCATTAGAACTGACCACCGGGGTTTATCTTTACACGACGTGCTGCGTTACGGTCAATTGAAGTTAGTAAGGGAACGTTTTACGAAGAAAATTGGGATAGAAGAGAAAGACGAAGACGGAAATACAGTTCTCTGCGTGGCGGCCGCAAACGGATTGGTTGACATCGCCCAGTATTTATTAGATAAGGGAGCATCACTTTCTTCTACAAATAATTTTGGTAGGTCCGCTCTTCATTTGGCAGCAATGGGTGGCTTCAGAGATATGGTTACAATGCTGTTAGCAAGAGGAGCTTCGACTTCTGTTTATGACGCATCTGGAATGACTCCCTTCGATTTAGCTGTTAATGGAGGACATCGCAAGGTCGGTTTTCTTCTTGAGAAATTTGAGTCTCTGAATACATTGCAGAAAAGACTACAAGGCAATATTACTTTGGAATTTATTTTGAAAAATAGAACAGAATTGAAACATCTACTGGAGAATCGAGCGAAACAAAAATCGATGGATGATTGGAAGCATTCCGTTTTCCTACTGGCGGCTTATGGTGGATGTAAGGACTTAGTTTCTCTCTTGTTACAGAAGGGTGTATTTGTCGATCTGTCTGATGCGAACGGACACACTGCTCTTCATTTGGCTTCAGTCGCCGGGCATTATAGGGTCGTGAAATTGTTGGTGCAGGAGGGTGCTTGTATTTTCTCCATGAATAGAAATTTGAAAACTCCACTCTGCCTGGCAAAGGAGAATGGGCATCAGAATTTGGTGACATATTTTGAGAATTTGAGACATGACGAGTGCGAAGGTTTATATGATATGGGTATTGGCGCCAAAACGGAGATGAATCACGATTTTGAGAGAGCGGGCCTGTATTACCAAGTATGTGGGGTCACGCAGGTAGGAGATCGATTGGAGTGGCGGCAGAAGCGAAGACTGGAAATGCGTGAGAAAGAACGTGCAGCCCTCCCGGAGAAAATTAGCTGGACGAAACGATGGATGAAGCGAAGATTAAACAAACAGTTGGCACATACGGCGGAGAAACGTTCAAGACGTGCTAAGAAGACTGCTGGTCTCCACACTGGTCAGTGTTTTAAAGTATGTGCTCGAGAGCTCGTTAGGAATAATAGAGACCTTCAATCTCAGCGATTCTTGGAGGAAGAGGATCAGGAATTTTGGCAAAGAAATACAGATTCCTCTCCTGTTGATGTTGGGTGTGGCAGCAAAGTCAAAAGGAAAATCATTGTCAAAACGAAAAAGGAAAAAAATGATTCTTACAAGCTCGTCAAAAACGTTCAAGCAGTGAAACGTATAGGTCGCAAATGCCTATCAAACAAGACGTCAGATGCAGAAAAGTTCACGTTGAAATGGAGTATAGCCGTGCAGAATATCAACCAAAGCGGCTTCACAGAGCTTCATGTAGCATCTGAGTTAGGACTCACGGGAATGATACCGGAACTTGTCGCTAAAATCGATGTTAATACTTGCGACAGGAGCGGGCAAACAGCTCTGCACAAAGCCGCTTCGAAAGGTCGCGAGAAGTCTCTTCAGGCTTTGCTTCGTCTCGGAGCTTCCGCGAATATAGCTGATTCCACGTATGGTTCCAGTGCTCTCCACTTAGCTGCCATGTTTGGTCGCCGCAAATGCATCACCCTCCTTTTGCAAAGCGGCGCTGATATTAATTTTCGAGACAAGCGCGGGAAGACCCCTCTGCATATGTGCGCTTGGCGTGGTCATTCTTCGTGTGTAACGTCGCTCATTGCACAGGGAGCCAAAGTGACTTCTCGGGATGAAGGTGGAATGACTGCTTTACATACCGCTTCCATGCATGGAAACGTGGATTCCCTCGTTGCGCTTATTTCGGCCGGTGCCGATAAAGAATCCCAAGACCGGCGTGGACAAACACCGTTGCACGTTAGTGCGTGGTGGGGTCAGACCACATGTATATCTGCCCTTATACAGCACGGTGCAGATGTAAGAAGTCGCGACAAGTACGGGAACACTCCCTTGCATGTTGCCACCCGAAACAACCAAGTCAAAGCTGTACGTGCTCTTTTAAAGGGAGATGCGGATGTCGACTTTCAAGATAATGAGAAGAGAACACCTATACATATTAGTGCAGGCCTGGGTCACACGGAGTGTGTACGTGTCTTGGCAAGTGAAGGAGCAGATCTAGGAATCCCAGACAAGTATGGGAGAACTGTACTTCACGTTGCTTCTCTAATCGGAAACAACGAATGTGTTTCATTTCTCCTTGAATCAGAAGCCTATTGTGACATCTGCGACAGCAAGGGATGCACTCCTCTTATTTACGCTGCAAAGAGTGGAAAAGATCAGTGTATTTCGACTCTTCTGGATAGAGGGGCCAACATACAGCATAGAGACAAGTACAAGAGTACCGCGCTACATGCAGCTGCTTTCTACGGTCATGCCACCTGTGTAAAAATCTTGTTGAAGCAGGGTGCCAGAACTACGTGGGAAGATCGCAGTGGACAAACAGCCTTACATAAGGCAGCGCAATCCGGTCATGAGGATTGTGTGAAGATAATCGTGGGAGCAGGCGCGAGTGTCTCATCATCAGATTACAATTACAATACAGCTCTTCATTTAGCTGCGTTGGCTGGACACAGCGAGGTTGTGAAAGTACTTTTGGATGCTGGAGCAAATAAAAATGCAAGAAACAGGAATGGTGAAACCGCACTAGATGTAGCTAGATGCAGCAGTGTTGTAGATCTTCTAACGTGATACATTTTGTCTTTTATTCTGCTTGTTCTTTGCTGCCTTTTAGTGAACATGGAGAAAGTACATTTGATAATAGTAAGGTCCCATTCAGTCAATTTTGTATGACCTAAAATGTATAGTCTGCCCAGCGAGACTGCAACAGGAATTTCAACCTTTTCTTTCATCAGCCTCTTTCGCATCAGCAAGGAACGCCTTCCTGCATCGACCCCTTATTTTGTATAATACAAAGCATACTATTCACAATGCAAATAATGGCATGTAAATGTTTTAAAGGTAATTTCAAAATAAATTAACAATAGTTTTAGGGGAAAATATGTTTGTTTTGTAATTTAACAAATCTTTTTTTAAATTTTACTTGTATAAACAAGTTTTCAGAAGCAAAATCGTAAATTGTAATTGCGTTAAATCTTCATTGTCAATGATAAAGTTAGAATGAGGGCCAAAATTATATATTATTAGATAAAACATGAAAATAATGCTGAAAACAAATTATCTTCATTTATATTTGTTGCAATTAATGAATTATTCATGTAAATTATACCACAGTTGCCGGAGCATAATTTGGCTCTTGGCCCTCAACCAAACCTTGTATTTGGGTTTTTATTTCTTGGCACGTGAGGGCCTGTCATCTAGCAGCACGACTGAGAGAGACGCGAAATGACGTGAGACATGCCATCGTGAAGACGGGCTCTCAGGCGCCAAGAAATAAAAACCAAGTATTGAGGTCGATACAACCTCATTGGGAACTTAGTTCTCATGAGTTTTTGCTTGTTTACTATGTCTTGATTATATTAATAAATTTTATTGAGCTAGCATCAAGAAATTGTTAAGCAGTAACCACGAACAATGAATAATAAAATATGAAAACGACTACGTCGCAATATCGCGAAATGTTTTTTTTTTTGCATTGTTTTGGCAATGTAATTCCCAACCGTGGCAACATTGTGGCCGGTTGACGCTGTGCGGGGCTGAGGGAACCGGGTGGAGCGGGAGGCTGGAAAGCAAGGACCGAGCGGAGAGAACGTGTGAGAGGTGGGATGACGTGGTAAAGGGCGAGCCGGGCAAGGGAAATCGACGAAAAGGAAGCGGGAACGTGATGAGTAAGGGGCGGATTTTCATGACCTAAGACTTTGCCAAAACTGAGCAATAGAATGCTTTAAAAATGCCCTAAAACAAAGAAAAATGGCGTAAAGGATTTGGTCAAAACCACTTTACATGAACAACTTAAGCTGTTGGGTATGTTACTGATGTACTCGAGGCTTCTTCCTTTTGTTCAAGTCAACTCAGCTTGCAGACTGTTATTTAAAAGAAAATCACTGACTTTGTTTATCGCGAAATCTGCCGAACTGGCAAGAGCGCCGATATGTGTCATTAGATTACTTGGTACTCACAACAGCTGATATTACAATATATGAGCAACGAAATCGAATAGGCTACTCAGGAATTCTGTGGTGAATATTTGTTGCACCTCGTTAATATTGTTTGAAGCAAGTACAATTAACATGATATTAAAATCAATTAAATCAGCGAAAAATGCATTAAAAATGACGTAAAAACGTAAAAAAAGTTTTTAGTGGAAATGAGTTGCCGTGAGACTTGGAAATATAGTTCTCGCACTTAATTGACAATTTAGATATCTTCATGAATGGTATGTTTGTATTATATTCTGATATAATTGTCATTAAATATTATTTATCACATATGGTATTCAGAAGTGTTGTTCTTATGCTTGGGAGTAGCCAGGGAGCTTTGGTTGTGAATAGTAAAATAGTACTTATGTAACTTTAAAACATATGTTGTATGTTGTTGTTATAGTTCGTTATAAGTAAAATAAATACTTTTCTTGTAAAATGTCTTTCGTGTATCCCTTTCACCTAGTTCCAATATATAGCCAATATATTTCTCATTGACAGAACTAAGCATGTATTTCGTGCATTCAGAACATTTACCACTAGAGAACTGCATATTAGCACATTTTTATTATTTTTTTCCCACAAATTGGACCATAAGATCAATATTGAATTAATCTAAATGTGTATGTATAATGTGTGGCTTGACAATATATGGTAAATCATTGTTAATGCCTTTTCTTCAAATTTTGCCCTGATTCATAGAACAAAGGTAAGATAATTGTCAGAGAAAATTAATTTTCAAAAACCATGAAGATGTTTCCGTCCTGAAAAGGTACCCTTTAGTACTTTCTCGATCCATTCTATCATTTCTTAATTTCTTTAACACACCAAGGAAACTTAATGGTTTAGTAAGATTTATGGCTCCAACACAAAACCTCGTAAAAGTGCCACAGCTTATAATTATCTCACGGGCGTCAAACAGATATAGGAAGTTAATATTTTTCAAGAGCAACAAAGAATTCATCAGCCGTGCATCTAATTTGCAACAAGTAACTTCGCCACACACACACTCTCACCATTTTGCACTGCTTCAAACCTGCGTAACGTAGGCCCTTGAAAGGTATTTTCGAGCCTCTACACAGCTTCCGAGTAGTTATATAGAGCGTAAATTACTAAATGCAACCTATTCCATTTTTACCTTTCTGGTTACCCTACCCCCCTACCCTGCACGAGTGATCAGGAACGTGTAGATTCTCGAAGTATTTGTAAAATTAAATCCACTATTTGATATTCTGTGCAATTTAACCACACATGCATAAGAACCCTGGTTTGTTATTAAACACAGTGTTTTTAAAACACCATACTAGCTTATTGAACGTCAAAAAACATCACTGAAATCAATGTAGCCACTTCAGCACCTGCTCAATGGATGAAAAAAAACCATCGTTATAGGGTAATTTAACCACAAGCTGATTTATGTAGTTTTTAGTCATATTCAATGTTAGAAAACAAATATAAGTAAAGTACTAGTGTGGTAATAGTATTCTGTATATCAGGGATTCCCGTTGGTGTCTATTTCGACCCCTTAGAGGATCTAGGGGTCGATTGAATGTTAAGAGTTGTGTATGTGCCGGCGACTGATCGGTATAATCTAGATAAATACCTCGTTAATTACAAAATATATTAGTGAAGGTAAAATATTTTTCTTCTGCTATTTATTATTTTCACGTTCTATCTAATCAGTGTCGAAGCGAAGACTGGAAATGCGTGAGAAAGAACGTGCAGCCCTCCCGGAGAAAATTAGCTGGACGAAACGATGGATGAAGCGAAGATTAAACAAACAGTTGGCTCATACGGCGGAGAAACGTTCAAGACGTGCTAAGAAGACTGCTGGTCTCCACACTGGTGGTCAAAATTGACCTTTTTGGAATTAATCATCAGTATCATGAATAATCATTTTTAAAACGTGTGATTTTGATGTCCTAAAACATTGCCAAAAATTATCAATAAAATGTTCTTAAAATGCCATAAAACAATTACGTAAAAAATTCGAACAAAACCACTTCAGATGAAAAACTCAAATTGTTGGATATGTTACTGATGTAATCGAGCTGGCAAACTTTGGGTTTATTTATTTATTGCGAGATCGACCGAACTGATAATGGCGCCGAGAAACATCACAGGAACCTGGATTACATAGTACTCTCAGCGGCTGGCATTGCAATATATGAGCGAAGAAATCGAGTAGGCTACTCAGGCATTGATTGGTTAACATTTGTTGCACCTCGTAAATATTGTTTGAAGCATGTACCATTAAAATCTATGAAATCAGCGAAAATGCTATAAAAATGACGTAGAAAGGTAAAATAAATGACTTACTAGTTGAAGTCGACGAATAATGCAAAAAAAGACATAAACAGATGTCATTTTGTTTCATCATAACATAAAATGAATTTTTATATTAAACGGCATTGTTCTACAGTGAAAAGAAAAAAAATAAATTTCATTAAAATCCGCACCCTAGAGATTATTTGTGTTATGAATACAGTGTTTTATACTATCGGAAATATAAGGGAGTCTATGAAGCTAACCAGTCCACTGCTCCCAAATTTTCGGGAAAGTAGGTTTGCCTGAGTTCCTGCTCCTGGAACAACCAAGCTTTTAGAATGCTTTCACTATTTAAAAAAATGTATGGTTGCTTTACGATAATATCTCGTAAATCTAGATCATCAGCGACCCCTGTCATTATACAATTGTATTTAAAAACGTAATAGTTACAATTATAACGAACAAAAACGGTAGAGTTAATTATATTTCTAAAATGTGTAAGTTTTAATCTAACTAAAGTTCTAATACATTATTGAGCTATATAAGACTGTTCAGTTTTGTAGTTATTACTATATGGGTTTTACTATTTTGGCACTCCTGTATGTGGAACTGACTAATAATTTTAGGGTTCATTCCATTTTCAGAATTTTTTTTATATTATCAATAGCAGGACATTCAAGAATAAGGTAAAGACTACTGCACCACTTTGGACAGGATTGTGGATCACATCTCTTAAATAGATGGCAGAAAGTGAAATTGAAATGACTTATTCTTAGACTTGAGATTACAACTTGTTCCGTCCTCTTAAAATATTTTTCGGGGAGAGTTGGGTCAAGGATGGATTAATTAAAGATATTGCCAACATGTTTTTACTTTTCCAATATGGCTGCTTTCGATTGGCTTAGCCATCATCATCAGTTGTCTGATACAAGAAAAAAACACACAGAGTTTATTTTACGATGATTGTAATTCGTCTAAGGCTATCGACAAAAAAAAAAAAAAACATACACATTAAACTGGTGATTAATACACAAAGAATTATGATAAAGAGGTAAAATAATTTTACAAATTTTTTTTTTTGGAAAATATTTTGACCAACGGGAGAAAGATAGAAAAAAGTGGGGCGGGGATGGGGGGGGGGCATGAGGTGGACGTGGGGGGGTTTAGCCATTTAAATCTACTAAAGAAAGGCCGAATGAAAATAGGATAATAGGAAGACAGAATACGTCGTAAAATAATTATTTTTTATAAAATTAAATATTTATAAAAAATACGGAAAACATAGAAATGTAAGTTTTGATGGTGATGGCTAAGCATAGAAAGGAGGCAGCTATTGAATTAAAAAAAAAAAAAAAAAAAAAAAAACAGTTGGGTTGGGGTGGTTGGCTGGAGACTAACACATCTTTTATTATTTAGTTTAAAAATGCCAAAGATATCTTACCACAACACCTACAAGGATGGATTGTCTGACTAAATGGAGTGTGCAAACATTCAACTATCAGTTAGAGTCCTAATAACTGAGGCAGGAGTAATTAAGAAACTTTTTTAAAGTCTTGGAAAGTGCTTTCAGCATCGTTTCCACCATTTCTTTGTGATTAGGATATTTTTGGTTTCCCAAAAAGTTTTTATGACCCAGTGAAGGCAGCCTTTGCTTTGTTTTATTTTGGAGTCATTGAACTGTTAAGCTTTCGTCGGATATGTTTTCTTATATCCGACTCCCAAAAAACTCCGTCTTGTAGTTTTGCTTTCGGTCAACCTGGAAACTAGGATCCCAAGTACTTGAAACATTCGCTATCGTTGGGGAGTGCCTTAAAATTGCTTTATTATTCCTAATGTTATATGTAGAAGTGGTAATAAACCGTTCTCAGGTCGTAGGAGTGTTACCTTGACATTCTTGTCACTAACAACTAGACTTCTTGGTAGCCATTTATTTTGCTTCCATTGGCCTACAATTGTCGGTCTACACTGACCCATAAACATAAAAAAGAAGGATATTTAGTGCAATACGTACATTCTTTGCGGAGCCCAAACTTTATCTTGCTCACAGAGTTCTAATTGAAAATAAGCGAAATACATTTTCTTAACACAATCTGTAATATTCAACTTCTGCTTTTTCACAATGAATTCTAGACATATAAAATAGTTTATTCACGTTCTTCACACTTAGCCGTCTTCTAACACCTTCTTTGGTAGCAAGTTCGAACGACCTACCTATGATGCGGATAGTTGCGCCTTGTTTCTGCAGTTGGTAATCACATTGTGAACGTGGAAGCTTGCGATATAATCTTGTCTTAATTTGTCTTGATGTTCGTTCCAAAGATGAGATTGGTTCACAAAGCCATATATATTTTACAGAAAGATATTTACGGATAAAAATGTCGATAGAGATATACTTCGAATAAAATTGTAAATTATAAGTAAATTACAAATTTTACATGCTTACACGTGATAATACGCTTTAATATTCGTTACTTTTAATTAGCAGGTGCAGCAGTGCTGAAGGCCTTAATGAATGCTCTGCCGGTGGTGAGAACGTGATCAATTTTGTTGGCAAGCAGGTAAGCAAAAATATTTACCCTTGTTGAATGAAATGTGCATTATTTATGCTTAAATACAAATTTTTAAGTCTAGTGTGCTCTGCCAACAACTATTGATCCTGTAACATACAGATCGGTTAATCAACATATAGTACAATTAACAAAACCGTAACTAAATATGAAATAATAACGAATGGTATAGGTTACAGTGACTACGATGCATTCTAGTCACTGCAACCACTGTGTCGTGCAAGTTCTTACAATTACCAGTAAATTAAACACTGACAAATTAAATAATACACGTATATTATTTACTAAAGCTAAAATAGATTTATTTACAGGAACATGAGACGTCTTTTATAAAGCTATTGATGCAAACGATAAATATAATTTACGAGTACGTATCTTTACGTATTTTTCCAGTCTTTCATTTCATCTTAACGCGTGCTTTACTTTTAATAACAGGAAATTGAACATTTCACAGAAACGTGATTCTTCTATTACACAAGGAAGTAAAACATTGTGTAAAAGCATTACACCAAACAAACTAACCTAATGCAAACGTTTGAGTTTTTTGCTAGAAGTGGCAAGAGTAGTGCCAGGGGTTGCTATTAGTTATCATTATTATAAAATCAAATCTGTACTTCATTTACTGATGTAAATACGTTTTCCTTCACTTACTAGCCAATATTTCTAATTTTCTAATGTTGCAAATCATGCTTTCTGGGTACTTTTTATTCATCATTTAAGTATGTGTAGTAAAATAGTGAAAACGTTATTGTAGAGCTTAAGAAAACGTGACCATATTATATTTCTCCCCCTACGTCATATGTGTATGTTTACTGTTTTTTAAGAATAAATCAAATTAAAACAAACCGCAGATTTTTGGGAGTTATTAGTGACGTTAAATGATCTTCTGAAAAAAGTTCTACATACTGTTTTTACGTTTATTGACGAGAATTATTCAAATAATTATATTGTAAATTTTGAATTTTTATTACTTCAACTGTAGCGTGCAATCCTCTCTTTCCCAAACTCTTTGAAGTATCTGTTCTGTGCAAAACTACTAATATCGACTATCTCCTAAAACCACTTTGTGATTAAAATTGGCCTCTTTGTTGTACACACAACGTATGACAATGCTGATTTTTTATCTGAATGGCAATCAGCAGAATTCCTTGCTATAACCCTAATATTCTAACATATTGCTTTACCTTCAAAATATTTTCATTCTCAAGCTCATTAAATAAGGAGTTTCTGAAAATGATATAATTCTACAAAATGTAGACTCTTGTTATTTTGATATATTGTAATGCATATGCTACAACAGAGAGTATATATAGTAGTGCTACAACGTGATGGGTTTTTCTTGTGTTTATATTACATATTGGAGAACACGTTATCTCCCACGAATAGTTGTAGATTTACAATGATAAATATGTTTCGATGATTTTTCATTATCAGTGATTTGCACAAAGTTGCGGAAAGTTGCACGAAATACTGTGCCAGTTCAAAGAGGAGGTATGTAATAATGAGTCAGTACAATTTTGAAAGAAAAAGTGAGCTTTATTGTGGAGTTAACCAAACTCTGTACGAGTATCTTGCAAAATCCGTCGATATGAAGCATTGTGTTAAAATAATAGTTTTTATCAGTATAATTTTGGGGAAAACCTTCAAGAATTTGTGTTACCAGGGAGCGACATACCTGCATCTCAGTGTTTCATGTCCATACACTTGAATTTCAACGTGCAAAGAACAGTAAAGTAATTTATTCACAAGCTTGCTGATCGCGAATAAAGATATGCTAGAGCGAAGGCGCACCTACGGCTGACTTCTGGGCGTTGCCACAACGTGCCCATTGCTGTCAGTGTGTTCCCAAACCCATTTTATTGTGTTCAGGTGTACGTATTTCGAAATAATATTTTTAAAGAGTGTTGATTTTTGCGTTTTTGTTCAGTTGGCGATGCGAAATTGATCAGTGCGTGGCTAGTCCCTCCGTCCCGCCCCTATGACCACTGTTGGTAAGTTTATTTCGACTGTGGGGAAAAGCACGACCCCACTGGACACTCACATCGACAATGGTTGACGGACGTGTGCAGGACTCAGCATTTCAGAAGTACTGATGTATTGAATTGAATTAATGCCTTATTTTACGAGGCGAGGCTCTTGCCATCAGGCCCGCTCTTCCGTCTGACCACACAAATTTCGCTACGCGGAGAAAGGAGGTATTTCTTGGGCGACGAACAGGCGATTTGAATTTTGCCCAGAGGGGACATTTAGGCTTGAGGATCTTTTACATGCAAGTAAATCTACTAACATGGGACAGCCGGCATTACTTCCGCTTCGAAGGAAGGCGTACGAAGGATTTTTTCGGCCTTAAAAATCCACGGCTTCGTTCGGATTTGAACCTGCCAACTTGGGTATAACGTACGCTAACCGGTACACCATCACCGCGCGCGAGATGTAGCACTGCAACGCCTTTACAGTTGAGATGGGTGTCATTATGACGTACGTGTTAACGTAAAGTTGAAGTACTGTAATGCTGTAGCGGAAAGTGGCGATTATTCGTCAGAGAAACCTGTACTATGAGGTCGCGATAACGATGTGGAAAAATCGTGTGTCTATATAAAGTAACGTACTTCCTCAAACACGTTGTGCAGTCAGAACCAGTTTTATAGGCCCTTGATATTGAAAAAATTGGTCACGGCGTTTGTCTGTCCGTCTGACATCACAAATGCCTTAAACCCGTGCTTGCCAACTCATGCTCTGTGACGTCACAGAAATCTGCCCCTGTTCCGACCCCAGACGCGGAGTGAAGGAAGTGCCCGACGCGGCGGCGGGCGAACATTGAACAGAAGTGGGAAAAGGTTCGCGTGGAAAATCGATAAATTACTATTTTTAAATGGTAATTATTATTTAGAATGTTCATGATTTAATAAAAATATGAAAAAATAGTTAATTAGGACAGATTGTTACATAACTCATATTACATATCGGATTATTTTATCATAACTAGTGCTTTAATTCCACCTCCATTCTTCACTAACATTTTTGGAGACAGTTTCTTTTAAGTTTAGGGCAATAATATATTAGACAATGTGATATAGGTAATATAAAAAAGTTCGTCCTGAAACAATAATTAATGTTAATTAATAGATAACCTTGTTGGTTTACATGGGAGAATTTGGAATCCAAGGTTGATTATTTCATGCCCAATTTTGTTTGAAAATGTAAATCTTCGTGATTTTTCAGTACCTTTTCCACAATATTCTATTTGCAAAATCCTTTACTTATCTCATGATTGCAGGAAATCTATAAATTCTCAGAATGTATTTGTATATTGCGGGTTTCAGTATATATATATATATATATATATATATA